GCAAATTTAAATTTTTACACAGCAATGGAAATGTGAAATATTCTCTGTAAAGCCTTGTCATAAATATCTTCACTGCCTCAACCTAAACCATTGAAGAATTTAGTATAGTTTTATTCAGCTTGTCAAATACACATTATCTTTGTGTCCTGCTCACTCTCTGCATGAAATAAATGAATAATAGGGAGATAATGATCATCTGCCTCAGCTGGAGACCACATGTTTCATTTTCCAAACCACACAATAGATTTTTACTAAATTTGGTATAAGCAGTCCACATGACTAGTTGTCTTGTGAATTTTAATTTTGTCCATAATGATCTCCTGTAACTCTTTTTTTTATGGAAAGCTCAGACTAAATGTTTATGAAATTTCTAATCAAGAAATCAATATATAACATAAAATTTAAATCTCATAAAGATTTTCAACATACATTTGAAGCAGTTTTTGAGGTCATGCATTTTTATGAATACAACTAAAAATTAAACTGAGTCATTTTGGCAGCATTCACTGGTGAACATCTTTGCCAGCAATAAATTCGCAATAAATGCAATAAAATGTAATAAATGAACATTCACAATAAGGGACGTAAAATTGTAAAGAACACATTTGGAAACAGTGTGTACTCTAAACCAGAACACGATTTTCCAGTCTTTAACATGTAACCCACAAAATGTTCATAGTTATTTTGCTTGTTTCCAGGAAAAACTGTTTCACAACAGATTACTTCAAGGGCTGCCTGGATGTGCTTCTTCTTCAAGATGAAATGGAAAAATATCAGACATGGATAAAACAATTACATGGGGCAGAACCTGGGGTTTAGGTACTTTTTGTTTTGCTTTTAGTTTTTATTATTTGTCCTTCTAGTTCATGTTTTATTTTGTATTTATTTTCTTGTATTTTAAGTTAGAATTTTAATTCTAAACCTGTAAATAAGCATTAACATTGAAAGAAGTTTATATTTTCATTAACTAATTAATGAATCTACAGTTTTACTTATATTTCTTTCCTTTTTCAACTGTTTAATAACAATTTGTTCCATAAATGTCATTAATATAACTACAATAACATTTTTTTAAACATTTTTAAAGCAAATAAGTATTTTAAATATGTACAACATATTTTTACTAAATAATAATTAAATAACTTTTTGTTTTTTTTAAACCGATACGTGTTTTGCAAATCATATTAGAAATGCATAAGATTAAATACAAAAAATAAGTTTTATTTTTATGTATATATTTTCTCAAGACTTTTTTATGTGTAATTTTTTTACTTTCCCTTACAATGAATTTTGTTGGAGGGACATTCATTTTTGTATTTTTACTCCTGTCCATCTTCAATTTTTTTCATGGCACAAAGGATTTTTGATTGCCATATGGTCCTGCACATGGGTGTTTCTGCATTTACCACGAAAACGTTGTCAGAGTAATCTAATATCATCATGTTTATTTCAGATCTAAATGCTTCAGCAGTGATTACTTCAAGGGCTGTCTTGAGGCCTTACTCTTAAAAGAGGAAGAACAAAAATTCAACCAAATGGTTGAGTACGTTGGAAAGAAGTAAGACATAAGACAATCCAGCCTATGAAAGTTGTGAATATCAACCACTAAACGACAATGGACAAGAGGAACCTGCCTCCAAGAACTTACACCACTTTATTCTAGTCTTGCAGTGGGGGGGAGGGGGAGAAGAAGAAGTTGCATATGTATGATATTACCATTAGATATGATTCAGTTTTTGCTACAATGAATTAAGAGAGATCTAATTCATGAACATTTTCACCAGAACATGAAGAGTGTTTTGTTTTTATTATTTAAAAGTATTAATTTATTAGTTTCATGGGACATCAGTTTGTATGGAAGAAATATGCATTTTTGCATTTAAAATAAATGACTTAATAAATACAAATGTCTCGTAACTTAAAATTTAATAATTAAATTATTTCTTCACTTATAAATATGATATTCACTGTATGTATTGTAAATGCAATCAGACTCCCTTGGTTTCAGAGTCCTACTTCTAGCTACACTTTATAATTCTTAAAAAATGCTACATATTAAAACTTACCACAAAAAATGAAAATTACTACATACTTTTACATGACTTGTTTGGTTCAGACTTACACAGTAATATTGTGTAATTGACAAGACAAATAAAAACCTGGAAGTGGAGTAAAGATCATACACACAACAGGTAATTTGAATGTCAAGCTATCATTCCAATATCAGTATTCCTCAATACTTGAATGAAGGTGTAGAACCTTTCTGCATTTGGATTACTATATGCATTAAAAGAGCTACACATATCATGTTTAAGTAAGTACATATGATGTGTCTACTGTGAAGTAATGTATAAGACAGTCCAGTTATATTCTTTGATTTGACTGTTCATTCTACTGTATTATCTTTTATTGATTGCTGTGCCTGATAATAATTGTGACTGTTTGATTAAGCTCGAAAGCATGTATGTTTGTACACACTTATTTTCTGCATTGTTACTACTAATGACTTGTTTTTCTTCTATGTACAGTATATAATGTGTTTTATTTATTTAAAACTTTTTTATGAATCTCGAAGAAAGTACGGGTTGTATGAATAGAATTATTGTACAATGTATTTTAAAGACAACAATTTGGTTATGTAATTTTATTATTGTCATGTTTAATGACGTTTTTATGTTATATTCTTTGACTACTGAGAATCTAAATTCTCACAGGACTCACATATAAGAAAACAAAGAGAAGCATTGTCTAATATAAGTTAAGTCATCACATTTGAACCAACATGATAGGTTCAGTGAATGAACCTTCAATATCTATCCATGTATGAAGGTTTACACATCAATGTCCTGTTCACATTGAAATGCATTTTCTGTAGAGTGATATGGTTTATTGTTTTTTTTATTTGTTGCTCTCTTCATATTAATTTTAATATTGTACATTAAAATAAAAAATATCTGAGAACTGCTGAGCATTCAAAGGAAATTTTTGATACTGAAGAAGGTGGCATTTTACTATACAAGAGGAAAATCAGAATCAAAACAGAAACATACAAGTCATCTGTCATCATGTCATGTCTCCTTACATAAATATTATGATTTGTATGTGCTGTTTACAATGGAAAGCTCATGATACATTCACCTTCTTCTCCTCCAGTTACTTCCACACTATCAAATTGGTTATTCAAAACAATGTTAATAAACATTTTATTATGTACACAAGTGGCAGCTCTAGTATTTAAGAATTAAAATCTATTTTCAAACAACAATACTTTGTTTCCTTCTTCTTTGCATCCTAATACACCTCTTATGTGTAAAATAAATGCTTCTCACAAAGGACATATGACAGTCAGTCACTTACATGTCTTTGAAGGACATAATGCAGTAAAAACAAATTTCCTCCTGGTGCTTAACCCTCTGAAGTCAAAGCTCGCCTAAATCATGCTTTAAGAATCCAGTCTGTACCACAAAGAGAACTCATCATTAAAAAATCTTAGTGCTGTTTAAGAAATAATCACTATTCACAGTGATAATTACACAAATAACAAATGCAGACTTGCTGATTGTTGAAACAGCTGGGCATTTAATTACCAGCAGGTTTTGGAAGGGTTTATTAAGCACACATCACAAAGGAAAAGATGGCAGGAGAGGGAGGCGAGTGATCAGCTTCATGTCTGGATGTCTTGCCTACAGTACCAACTGGAAAGGAAGCTGAGTGGGCCCCAGAGTTGGTCTGGATGCATTGATAATGAAAAAAATTCTGCCATACTGGGAATTCAACCCTGATCATCCAGTCCACAGCCTAGTAACTATTCACTGAGTTATCCCAGCCTCAGAAATATGTAAAAATGACACATGATGTAACTGCTACAAATTCCATATTCAGAAACTATATCAATTATTGTGGTTATACAGTGTGAAACAAGAAGAAAGGATGATTACAGAAAATTAAAAAAAGAAAGTGATCATGGTATTTTTCAAGTTCCTATCCCAATAGAATATTTCCTGAAAATACTGAGAAAAACCTCAAGACATTTGGATCAAAATAGCTAGTATTTGCCCTTATTTAAACTAGGTATCTTCTGAATACCACTGACCCTTTTAAAACAGAAAAATGCTAGATCTGGATACAAGACCAACAAGTCACCATTAAGCATTCTGCTCTGACCATGTTATAACAATGGATCTCCCTACATTATGGACTTCTAGATTGTCATTACATACTGGTACATATACATCAACTCCAATGTGGAAAATATAAAGATTACAAACGTATTCATTGACACTTTCGCATCCCCAATTGGCCTTGATTTATTTACTTTTGGTTTATTCAAAGACCACATAACATCAAATGATGAAATTAATGAAATGGAAAGGATATGTAAAGTATGAATCATGGCCTAACTTGAAGTATTAACTGGGTATTTTCCTGGACAGACTGAGTAAACAACTGTGCATGTATAGAGCCCTTAATAAAGAAGTATTCCACTATATTCAATTTACTACATTGTTGTACCATTATAAGAAAATAAGTTTCAGGGCCATATAAACCATAAGCACTATTCTATGGAGGAAAGCCACAAGATAATATAATTTTACATGAAAGCATTTCAGAAATTATACAGCTAATATAAAGTCATGTGATCCAGCTATCAAGTTAAAACATTCATTGACATTAAGGTTTTATAACGCTTTCGTTTGCATATGCCAAGTTTATTTCAACCCTTAACCATAAACTTGCAAAAGTGCACATATCAGCTTGTGGCTTTCCACAACAGAACTGCTGTTTCAAAGACAACCATATATAATCAAATTATATTAATTCTTATGGCCCTTCAGGCATACTAAACATACATAACAGTATAAAAATTCACTTGTTAACATGCATTAGAGGCACTGGTATCAAGTTCTTATTCATACTAAGCATCATCCACATGTCTAACTAGCCTGACAATAAAAAATCATCTTTTCACAGAATTATCCAGTAAATGTAATAGTACTTACAATTTGTACATCTTACAAACGTCTTCGAAAGCACAGAAATCCATGCTTATATTAATACATCACCATGCACTCTTAACGAACTGTTAAAAGTAAAATACTGTTATATAGCTCAAACATAAAGTAATTAGATGATAGAAGAATCCACATTATCTTGACCTAAAATAATTCCTTTATTATGCAGTATTATAAATTGGAGTCACTTCAAATATTCTCCATACTTTCCTATTTTATGACGTTTTTCGTTCCTTTCACTGAAAACGTTATAATTAAAAATTTAAATTTTGCGCGTTTGCTATAAATTATCATACACAAATTTCCCCCGACCACTAGTACCGATTCTCTAAAGCTTACTGTGAATGGCGCCACCTGTTAGAAATCTTTGCTCCTTGCCAACCTCACGCACATCGTTCAAAGTCGTAACTTCAAAACTGATAGTCACACATGTCTTACGTACTTAGTAACATAAATGGCAATCATATATATTGATTAGGATGAAAAGAAAAGTCATACATTTAAAAAATATATAGCAAATAAGTATTCTGTACTTACAAATTTCACAGATATAAACTCACAATATAGCAAATGGTGATAAATCCACAAACCAAAAGAAAATAAAAAAGCAGAAAATGGTCTGTGACTGTAAAATTTAATCAGATGATCTTGAAGATTTAGTCACTGCACTAAATATCTTCCACATTTCCTACACTAAATGGAAATGTGATTGAATACTGTCAACACTTCATCTTGCAAAAATTGTAATTTCGACGTTGGCATGCCCTGATATTGTGGTGGAGATAAGTAAAATGTGATCATGCGCACGTTCTCTTTGGCTGATGTGATGTAAAACGTGATCATTTTCCACTGTACCCTTATAAGACCTACAGAACTGATAGAAACTATTTCAATAACATGTAATGTCTTATAATTCTACGAACAATTGTCGAACAATTTTTAAATTTCATTTAAAACTGACAATTCTATGTACTCTTTGCTGTTGATAATATAATAATCTAAGGTAGATTACAAAAATAATGATTTGTGAATTTAGCCACATTGTTACTGATATGAACAAATAGTTAAAGGTAAAAAACTCACTTCCAAATTTTGTCAAACATACTTCATTTTCTGTAACCAATAACAAACCTTTTCTTAAATGAACATATGCTGCTGTTCTTTTGTCTAGAAAGTTGATGATAAAATGAACTGAAAAAAAGCAGCACATGGACCAAATGAAACCTAAGTAAAGTTCAGTATTGTTTTTAAAGAGCTTTATTTTATTTCTCATTAGAATGGATTTTGCATACTCTCATTGAGCCATGAAATAGAGCATAATAATCTTGTGAAATTCAACCAACAGAAATAAAATAAAATAATGAGAATGTTAAAAAAGTTATATAGAGAACTGTTTAAGATATTTTGCATTTTATCACTTTCCTCAGAATATATATGTGCTTCAATGGCATTTGTATTTACTAACCATAAAATTGTTTTGGCCAAATTAAGAAATTCATAACAAGATAATACAAGATCTCCATAGACCATCAGCAAATCTGACAGTTTACCTAAAAGATACATTCTGTGCAGGAATTTAATTGTAACACAAGCTCCCAGTATGAGTTATTAAACTATCCACTGACAGAATATAATTCCAATAAGCATTTGAAGAATTCCTTTTGACACTGCCCTTTTATTTTGTTGATAAATTTATAAATCATAATATTCATCGCCCTGATGACGGAGGCAGTATGACCTCTGAAACGTTGGTTAACATCGACCAGACTACACAGCGCAACAACCCAGAAGACAGAAATCTTCTTATAAATCTTACATTAATAGCAGATTGCTAATGATGTATAACTTATTGTAAAATAGTGATATAGAATTTATGCTTTATAGAAGTAAGTGGAACATAAATGCAAAGTAAGTGTATCATTTTTTAAAAGAGCTTATATTTTTAAGCATATATCTGACACTAGTTATAATGGTATTCTTTATATGTTGCTTTCGATATTGTTGAATAAAAGGCTCTTTTCATTTTTATACACTGGCATTTTTTATTTCGTGATCTGTGATTCACAGAATGCATGAAAGCTAACCCAACCTAGTATAATTCAATCTAATTTAATTGATGACGAATATCAAATAGTACGTCATGAGGTCATTCGTTCAGTTTTTTATCTCCCCATTTTGGCACACCTTATTTCCTTCCACCACGTACAGAAACTGAACAAAACACATTCATCAAGCGGTATGGTAGGTTTTGTATAAAACTATTTCTACGGTGTTAGGTTATGCGATAACTTACGTTGTTATGCTTCTGATTCTCTTAAATTAATTTGTGAGTTTAAAATAATTTATACACATGACTTTTAAATTCCAAAATTTAGCTATTGTGTTACATCGTTTACATTTTACGGTTTTATATACGAATTTATATTGGAATGAAATTTGAAATCGGGGTCTCCTGTTTCGTATTCATTGGTTACCTAACATCGTAATTGTACTCAATTACAACGTTAGGTAACCAATGCTATTGGCATATGATTGGTATTCATATTGTGACATGTTCCACATACTTTGTTTGTACAATGAAGGAACAATGGAAAGTAAATAAATTCTGTTCTGTTCACTAATAACACATTCAACCATTGGACAGGATTTAGAGCCTGCCACCTCATAGCCTTAATATTGAGTTTACTGTTGCCCTGTTCTGTGTAGTTTTTAAAATGAATGTTTTCCAAGCGACTTTCCCACCAAAAAGTTGTTATTCCTTGCTCCTTCCATCCAAGGCACACGCATAACTTATTCTAGTGCCTTGATGTCACCATTTGAGCAGTGCAAATCAACTAATTCTTCATATCTGGTTTCACATTTGTGGTTTTATGATTTCTGTTTGGTTAACTTCAGATACTGTCATACAGATCTAATACAGGAAAATTGTGTGTGCCACCTGGCATTATAAATCCATGTAAACATTAGTGGTTATGCTTTCTTGTGTAAGTATTTTTGCTGTAATACTGTAATTGACTGTACATTACTATGATACCTATGTAGTTTTTTATTTGTATTAGAAACAGTTATTATATTTGTGCTATGGTGTTTTGTACATTCTTGGCTTGGACCTATGAAGGATTAATGGGATGTAAATAAATCTTATTCTGTTCTACTATTTTTAAAAATGGGTCTCTCCATGTGGCTTCTTCTGTTTCAGGAAGTGTGGAATTACACCACATAACCTGATATTGTAATTTTCAGATTGTTGATCCCCTTGTTATGGATCCAGTATTGCTTCAGAAGCAGGTCCTTGATAATGCAGAAGACCTAAGGAGTTACATGCAAGATTTGAAAAGCTGGGAAGCTGACATGAAGAGAAAAGAATCAGAGCTTGCCACAACAGCCTCTGATGACCAGGTTTGTGTACTTCCTTATAAGTTTTATTAGGAGTATATTTTAACCTCCTATAACCAAAGCAAGTTTTAGTGTCTGACATCTACAGTAACAAGTCTTTTGCTAAAGCAAACTAAGCTTGCCTCAGTGTTTTGTGAAGTGTTCTGCCTTTTTTTCCTCAAATTTATTAGTTAATATTTACTTCAGGAACTGTACCTACAGTGGGATTGTTAAACAAGACTTCTTCCTTTTATGTCATAACAGATTTAATTACTGACACTGAGTGGCACATTATAGAAAGAACAGCTATGTGAAACTACTTTGTGAATTTTAATATAATTTTTACAGTGATTTCATGGAAATCCTCTTCAAAAAATTTGTTTCATTTTCAGGCACTTCCACCTGTTCGCACTAAAATAAAAAAAATATCTGAAGTGCAGAAAAGTAAACATGAAAAACAAAATGAAATGCCAGCAAGGATTTCTGGATATGATTATGCCTCTTGGGATAAATTTGATGTGGTGAGTTTTATATTACTATGGTGGTAATAACTAATTCTTCCTCTCAGTGAAGCAGGTTCTACTAGACACCATTGTCCAGCATGTTACCTGTTGCTAATGGCATAACAATGTTAAACTTATAACTAAAACAACACAAATGAAGAACTTGTACACATTCTGCAGCTATTTTTAACTGAAAATGCATAAGTGGGAAAATAACTGTACTATTGATTTTGTTTAAAGATTATCAACTATTGACTGAAGTGTTAAAGACTTTCACATAATCTCTTATAAAGTCTCTAGGGCTCTGTGTTCTTATGATCCTTGTGTCTGTAAAGCCAGTGTTAATTTCATTCAGCATAATATAAAGTGGAAACCATTCTTATCAATACTACTGTATGCCTTGCATGAAAATTAAGATTATAGACAAATTCTGTGAGTGGTTTTCATAATGAAAATCATTTCTTTCCAGATTTTGATATTAGGTCTGATGAAACTACTTTCAAATTTAAGAAATGTGGTTGTAGAACATGTAGTTATTCTGCTAGGGGTGCAGTCTGTCTTCTAGAGGAATCATTGGACTATGTTTCTTTGAAGGGACTATACATTTATAAAAGTTTCAGGAGCAATGACAGCTCTTGCCTTGCTTTCTGGTGGGGCACCTGTATAACAGAATATAAAATAAAATGGTGAAACTTGCTGTTCTTGAGAAATATAACCCCTGACATTGCACCAGGATGTACTGTATAGAGATGTGGCAATTCTTCCATTGCCTGTAGCACTAGGCTTGTTAATAAAGAAAGTTTATGTGTCACCAGCATTTCTGTTGACTCGATATTTTTATTTTAAAGGATAAAGCATGTGAAGAATTTGATGGTGGAAGACATCAAGAATCAGAAGGTGATAAAGACACAGTCAGTGATAGTGAGGAAAAACAGATCAGAGAAGAAGCAGTCTATGAAAAGGAAATGGTTAGTTTACAGAATGAAATCTAACAATCCTGATATTTTGCATAAAGATAATCTTCAGACAATATTACAATTTTATTACATATGGAAAATAAATTTTTAAAGAAGTCTTACAAGGAGATTTTTCTTAGAGAGATATCGAGTCATGAAAACCACTTCATAGCTGCATAATATTAGCACCATGTGAACACTTAGGTTTGCTGAGGAAGTATATTTATCACATTCAAAGAGGCGTCTCATTGACTTGAGAATACATAAGTACTGTCACTACCTGAGAATTGAAACTTCTTTTATGTCATATTTGATTTTATCCAGGATGCAAAGTAGCTGTTTATCCCAAGATCTTTGGAGCAATATTGAATACAGTTGATCAATATAATTTTTTGCAACATGGTGACAATTTATTTTACATCTGTTCAAGGGGAATGATTTGGTGAAGAGTAAGAAGTGGAAAGAAGCAATTCGATGCTACAGTCGAGCCATCAACTGTTTCCCTTATGATGCTATTTTCTATGCAAATCGTGCTCTTTGTTATCTTAAAACTGAAGAGTAAGTTATGTTCCTGTTATAGAATAAGGCTGCTGTTAAAATTTATTCCTTATTTTCAAAATACAGTCATGAAAACCAATAGATTGCCAGTGATAATTTGTGGAAAATTATTCCTGTTACTATGGAATATCATTATAAAATTCATATAGCATGTTGCTCACCATAGACCAAGACTAGACTATCCATATTGGGATAGTCATAATAGGATGATATATTTCTAGATGGATGTGGATGTGCAGCTTGAATCTTCTAAATGGCAACTTGTGAAAAAAGGAAAACTACAAATGAATTGCCATTTATACCTGTTATAAACATTATTCAGTTGTATTTCCAATATTAGCTACAGGATATTTAAAACATATGCATGAAAATGTTAAACTTCTAAACTGTATGTTGGTGCAGTAAATGAAAGAATTAATTTGTATATTTTTAGAACAGAATTATAAGTAAATAATTTCTCAGTCAACCATTGCCCAAATTTGTCAGTGTGTTAATTTCTTTTTTACTTTTCAGTCTCAGATCAGCTGAAGCAGACTGCACAGCAGCATTGCAGTTGGATTCTAGTTATGTGAAAGCATATCAACGCCGTGCAATGGCTCGAGCTGGATTAGGTCAGTTACAGGAGGCAAGAGCTGATCTGCTAAAAGTAATGGAACTAGAGCCAAAGAACATGGCATCAAAAGCAGAATTAATGAAACTGGAAAAGAAAATCAACATAAAACCTCAACAAAATGTAATCCTTTGAGATTATCACTTGTATCCTTAAGATATTGCTTTATGATCTTTACCAGCTTTGAAAAATGTTAATTGATAAGTATCTTGTGTACCAATACCTTATGAATATGTAGCTATACTGAATTCAGGTATATCTGTAAGAACAACGTAAAGGACATAATTATTTGTGTTGTGAGATTTATTAAAATTCAAAGTACTATTTATTCTTTAATGCTTGCTTTTCAGCAGTCTGTGAAAGAACCTGGCTTTGCAACTTGTTCTAAAAACATTGTGAGTCTAGAAACAGATAAACAAGTCAAAATTTCATCTTATGCACTTAAAGATAAAAAGGCAGAAAAGGAAACAGACACAAGAAATGAAAGTAAAATGCCACTTAAGCAAATCATAAGAGAAGAAAAAGAAGTCTCACAAATGTCTGTCAATAAAACTACTGCTGTAGCAGAAGTAAAGAAAGATGAAAAGTGTTTTACAGATCAAGAAATCATAGATGAACAAAGTGGAGAATCAAGATTGTTGGAGAACATTGTGACTGAAGAAGAGATATGGTCTACACATGGAGAAGTTGAATTGGTATATTCAATACACAAACCTCCTCACTTACGTTCTAAAGTAAGTATAGTTAATGTAGTCAATTATGCATGTTTTCAAGAATTCCGAAGACCTCCACACTAACTTGTAATGTCTCACACAGAATACATCAGTTTGAAACTTATTAAATTTATCACAGGGATGGAGTTGCAAATTAGATTTGTATCTACAATGAGAATATTAATGTTAATTGTGTTGATATAATGTTTCACTATGTGTTCCCATAATATAATGTTCTATTATGTTTTTTCCAATTTGTAAATATGTTTTTCTTGTATGAAAATACCCAGTTTGGAATAATGTGTATCTTATTCACTTAGGAATTAAAATTGTAGACAGACATCACATTCACACATACTAAACCATTAAAAGCAGGGTAAAAAAATTTGAGGCTACTCATGTCTGTATGGAGTGCCAACATGCTTTAGTAAAGTATACATACCATTATCAAATCAGTAGGAGAGGAATGTGCATGTAATTTACTACTATAGATTTAGTCAATGATATGTGTATGATTTTAAGCAGTTTGGTATTGACAAAAGCCTATATTGTCATCTCTGTTTGATTGTATTGACTACTATAGTAATGCAATTGTAACAGTGAAACAGTTTAAAAATGATTTTAATTAATGTGTATGTGAATAAATATATACAAATCTGTGTTGACATAGGAATTACTACAGTGAAATTACAATTATCATGAATGTTTATGAATATATATGTAATTATATGAGCTGGACTAATACATAAACTGCTTGGGAGACATAGGCGTAGATGAGATAGATCTTAAAATAGGATGTGGACTGGATGCATGTGGCTTAGGATGGGTTCCAGTGGCAGGTTGTTGTGAACATGGCAGTAAGCCTTCATATCCAATGAAAGATATGGTATTTGATTATCTTAGTGACAAATTTATAGAATTAATTAAACCAAAACATATGGGGTGATTCAGGAGAGTACCAAACTTAGTGGATACATTAATCAAAAGGTTTTTAGTAAAAATAGTCCTGTTATCATGGCTCCAATTTAGAAAGTTTGAGGAATCTGGTAGTTGCAAAGACTAAGATAAAGATGCACCAGAAATATGGAAAGTTTATGCTTATTATTGGACATTTTTCCTTATGTTTAAATGCACACAGTGTTTTGGAAGCTGGCTGTGCTTCCATCATCGTATGAAACTGCGCAACCAAATCTGTTGAGATCTACTGAATAAAGTGAATCTGAATACCCTGAGAAGTCGACCAAACAGATTAGGTTGCACAGTTTCACTTGATGATGGAAGGAGAGTCAGGTTGCATGTATTCTAACTAAAATACCAAGGTAAATGTCCAATACTATGCATCAGTTTAATGACACATCTTTGTCAAAAAGCTTTTAGACAGAAATAGAGGTTTAACTTTTCTAATGCAGTCATGTAAATAATGTGCCCATGATGTTTTGTAGACTCCTGAATCACTCTGTATACACATTGTTCTCTTTTTTAATTTACATATGCATTCACAAATATATGTCTTATCACAGGATGAAAATTTGTTTCAAGATTTTCCGTGTAAGTAACTGTAACCGCAGATTTCTGATATTGTGTTTTTCCCCCCTTTTTTTTTAAAAAAAGAAAGCTTTGAAGAGAATTGAAATTCAAGAAGTTGATAATCATTTTAGTAGACAGCTTGGAACAAGTAACAAAATATGCACTGCTAATTCAGTGGAGAATGAACATCATCAAATTACTGTTGGCTTAGATACAGGAAAGCCTACAGATGTCAAAGAGCAAAAGACAGAGGGATTTCATAAAGTTAATGATGTAGAAAGCAGTAAAATGAAGTCAACATCTGAAAATGAAAATTCTACATCACAGAGTAAAGTCACTGATCATCTGACAGAAATGGTATCAGAGAAAGTTCCCCCTATTCCTAATACATCAGTGCAGTTTCAAGTTGCTTGGAAGAAAGTAAGAACAGACCCTCACCTCAGCTATCTCTACTTAAAGGTATGTTAATGGTAAATCACAATGCTCAGAATATTGTTACTCTAGAAAGAATTATGTCTGTCTGGTTACATTAATCTTAATGCAATAAGTGTGGTTCATTAATATGTTAGGATTAATGCAATCTGACATTTGAACCTCAAAGATTCTCCAAGAATGCCATTTAGTAATTGGAAAATGTTTTCTATAAAGTTTTTACTTCTCATTTTTGTTCAGTGTTATAAATATAGATTATTTTATATTGATTTTGGTCTTCTGGTCTGGGTTCACCATTGGTCTTGAGGATGGTTACCAGTGAAACATTGTTAACTAACCTACAAGACCACAGTCAACATCTTCACTGCTGTGGGAACCTGATCTCAGATGTTGATTTAATTGGAAAATTGTCAGTATATTTGTTATGGAAGTGGTGAATATTGTATAGCACTTCTCTCTTAACAGTCATAGGCTTTTTTGAAGTCTCTTATCGTCCAGCTGAACACATTTGTCATTTGGCTTATATCAGCATTTCTCAACCTATGGTACACATACGACTGGTGATATGCGAGCCAATGTTGAGTGGTACGCGAAATAAGTAAGAAAAATAAAAAGATAATATTAACATAAATAAATTTTCCCTGATTGCATTTTGTTAGTGGTACATTTAATATGTTAAATTAGAATTTGTTGTACACCAGCAAAAAAAGGTGAGAACCCTTGGCTTATATTAAAACAGCCTCTCAAAATTAGAGTGGTTGCTCATTGAAACTGTCAAAGTGTACAAAGGCTTTTATGGAAGAAGGTATGATGTGATTCCTTGAAAAATATACATCCCTCAAAGTGTTCCTGGAGTATCATCCTGACTAGGCTATAAGCTTGGATGGCCAGAGTTTGATTCTTGGCAGATTCATGTCCAGACTAGCTATGGAGCCAGCTCACTTTCCTTTCCATTGGGCTCCAGGAATAAACCAGCCAGGATGTAAAACTGACCGCTTACCTCCATATAGTGCTAAGGTTAAGTGTGTGTAGCCATACCTTTACTCTCCCATGTCTTCCTGATGTGGTGCATAATTTAGCATAGAGGCGCGTCTTCAGTTAGCAGTACTGAATTAAGTACAGGGAAAACTTTACCTTGTTGCATTCAATAGATCAAAAAATATTTCAGCAAATGATGCTGATAGATGTGAGGTTCTAATGGTGGTGAAGGTGTTGATGATGTTCTTGGTTGTTATGCTGTGTGGACTCATAGGGAGATACAAACATTTTTGGGGCTGAAGATGGAAATAGCAGCTTCTCAAAAACATTGGTTTCTGCCTGAGTCAATATGGTGTCACAACCCGAAATACTGTTGGCAAATAATGCAGAATCTACTGACTTTTTATTTGTAATGTTTGTTTGATATAACATGCATATTCCCCAGATGTTTTGCCTTCATAAATGAAATATTAAATTTGTATGATTTCAGCAAATTCCTGGAGCATATCTGCCAAAAATATTCCGTGATTCTTTGGAGAGTAGCACACTTAGTGATATAATATCTACCATCAAAACTGAGTTTATTCAGTTTAAAGAGCCTGCTTTATCATTCCTTATGGGATTATCTGATGTTCGAAGATTTGGTGCTCTAGCTATGTTCCTGTCTGAAAGTGACAAAGCAGGTGAGGCATGATCACAATGGTAAACAGTAATCTACTACTTCCTGCTATGAATTTCCAATCTGTATACATTTTATAGGACTTCCAGTACATATAGTAGTAGTAGAAAGTGTGAAGATTATTTCAATCTAGGTCAATTTCAGTCCTGTAGTTTTAAGACAAAATATTTTATAGTTAGGAATTTAGCAGAACAAACTATTTTTGTGAAAACCAAGATATTTATTCCTGTGACAGGCAGAATGGCATTGGCATACTACATATTATTTGTCTTATTTTCCTGAATAGGAGTCAAGAAGATACTGGAATACTGCAAAGAACAAGGTGAATGCTCAGAAGAAGACAGCATAGACCTTATGACAAAATATGAATTATATTAAGATATTTGTAAACAGTGCTGCATAATCGGTGTATTGTGCTAGACTTTGTAAAGATTATCTTCGTACTTTGAAAGTGCGTTAATTGGAACAGACCAAACAGTGTGACCAAATGGAGGTAATGTACTACTACTGTAATATATTTACAACTTGGAATCAGTTAATATAAATTTGTCTCAAGAGTATTATTATTAGATAACTAAAATAACATTTACAATAATGTTACCTAACTTTATAAACTTCTGCTGTAAAGTGTGAAAACTGAAAGTTAATCTTTTATTTTCCTTCCATAATTCAACAAGCAAGGTACCTCTTTAATGAAAGTTCTTTGAGATTCATCATTACTTCCCTAAATATTTTCAGCTCAATATTAAAGCAGTAAATTCTTGTTAGGAAAGAAAGTACAAGTGCAAAATTCTTGCTTAGATTCTGAAGCTGTCATTTTTATGCAAATCTTTCTGATTTTTTCTCTCATGAACTTTAAATTACTAGCAGTAGTCATTATTAGTCATCTTGCTATATATAATATAATCAACCCTAATCCTTTTCTTCACCATGAGTTGGGCACATCTTAATGCATTGTCCATGATGAAATGCCTAATGCCATAGTACTGATAAAAATAAAATGTGTGATGGTATTACAAGCAGAGAACTACTGATCAAGGTGACAGGTCTTCAAATAAAAAGGAGACCTATTCTGTTGTAGCCTGTAGACTGAGCTATTCCTGATCTGTGAACCACAAATCAGGAATAGCTCAGTCTACATGAAGACAAAGGAAGATCCATCCTTCACAAACAGTGATTTAAGTTTTAAGATTAAAAAACAACAACAGGCAATGGATAAGTCCAAAACAAATAAACAGTAATATAAGACCAACACCAAAAACATTTAGTGAAGACCTATGTTTTTATTCTTGTCTTCATAAACACTACAGTTAATGTAATTATAACCTTAAATGTACTGGCAAGACAAACAGTAAATACACTGAATTTATATGCCATAGTGAATGTACAAGACAAAACAAATCCATGAAAAAATGTGAAGACAGTTACCAGCTATACTCTGCAGCACAAGCTTAACAAATAATACATGTAACATCTTATAATGTTTGGTTTATAACTTGATTTATGAACAACAGAGGTTTTGAACAATATCATGGCTTATCCTCAAGCAAATTCTATTATCAAAGCTTAATATCAGTGAGAATTCTTTGAATCCTCATTACTAAATCAATCTGTTAGTAACAGCACTTTGGAAAGCAAAGATATGATATCTCTGTAAATCAAATTTCTGCCTCTTTACTATGTAATTTATTAACAATTATTAAGTGTAATATACCTACAAGAATCCAACCACAGATTGAATATAAAAATAGCTGTGAACAAATTGCCTTAATTCATCAGCCAGATAAATCTGTTTTATTCTTTAAAAAAATTAATTAATGAACTTCAGTACAGAATAGTGAATTGATTCATCACAGACAAACTATGTCATTCTGGGATTCAACTGACCTCTGAAAATACTGCACAAAGCCAAGACCACAGATTCAACTCATACCTTAAAAAAAATATGAATTTAGAATAATATGTCTGCAATTTGGACTATTAAAAATAACATTAATGTGAATAAGTAAAGCACAGAAAGAACAAAAAAATTATTCACAAATTATAAAAAGAATAGCACTTCATACACTCTTTAAGATATAGGTTACCAATTCTGAGGCTACGAAGAGCCAATCAAGTGAAATAATTTTCCATTATTTTGAGAAATTCACCTAGACAAACTGAACTGCTGCCCACACCTCCAGACCAATCTCCTTTACAATCATATTACTGCCACTAATTTTAAATGGCAGAAGGTATAGATCTCATAGAAATAATTTTCTTAGCATTATCAAACAGAAATCTGTATCATAAAATGTTCTTTTCTTAGTACAAGAAAGCTATGCTGGTTTACTACGATTAACTGGTAAATGTGCTTTCAAATTGTCTTGGCCTGCTCCTTGAGTTAGCAAGCTTCCATATTGTTGCCACATTTCTATAGCCTTGTTCACTATAACTTCTGCTGTTTCTTCTGGTATGTTGTTCAAGCAACTCAGAACATTGTCAATCAACAAACACTTCAGTAAATTTCGCCTTAAAGTCCTCAAAATAACAACAGCTACAAACACCAAAATCTTACATGAACCACCTGTCAATTTATCCCATATCTTCCCAAGTGAAGATTCACTTATTACTCCCGCAAAACACGAACAAAGCCAGTTCTGTAATGGGATTGCATTTAGAGCACCAATATCAACAAGATGGTTAAAAAGAATTCCATCCTCCTTTTCTAATATGTTTTTGGTGTATTCTATTAATTTAGGCACATCATTATGAAATTTGTCAACAAACTGGAAGAAACCCTTTGAGATCCAATATATATCAACATCATTATCAAAGACATTTAAAAGGGACTGTGAAATTGAGCACAAACTCTGGTATAAATAGTTATCCAACTGTGCGTTCCAATCGTACTTGAGTCTCCCAGTTTCCAGTAACCACATTAAGATAAATAATTGTGGTTTCGGTGTTTGGTCCATAACTATTCTCATAAAGTGCAACGAATGCACCAAATCATTGTATTCTTGTTCTCTCTGTTGCATAACAAATTTATGACTCTCTACGTGAATTGGTACAACGTCAAGAAGAACTTTCCATACTAAGTTTCTATATAACCCAGGTACAGTAAATCTCAAACAAAATTGTTGTAATTTCACTTTATCCAGAGTCTTATTATCTTTGAGAAGAATTTCCAATGATTTCTTTTCCTCGACGCTTCTAAATCCCACTTTTTCGTAATAAGACGAACGAAAATTACGTTCATCGGTCGCCATATTCTGAACACAGCAGTGAGCTCAATAAACATTACCAACTACCATTCAGAATGTGATAGTTCTCATGTATGAAATGGTCAATTATCTAAAACAGTACGTGCGCTACGTTTTAGTGTTACATCGATATGTGCAACCGTATACTGTCAAACTGAGCCATCCTATCCATATTGGTGAAATGTGCATACATTCATAAATCCTACTTATAACATTACGGAACTCCCACGTAAACTTCTCACTAAGCGTTGCCGCTCTTAGTTGGCTTTTACAAATATAACTTACCAAAAACATACAGCATGTCATGCGAAATATGTCGTCACCGTTTGTTTTCAAAATACATTGGTTTTATTTGAATTAAATTTATGCTGTCGACATACAAAAGAAATTTCCCCACCTTCGTACTGCTAATAACAATGGAACGTCTCTTTCCATAATGTGGTGGGAATAAGTAAGGTGTGTCCATGCGTGGCTGAACGTAATAATCTTCCAAAATTAGCATATATCAACTCGTGAAGTAATAAATCAATTTTAATTGCATTTAGTATTAGAGAATTTTTAAGAACCATATAAATTTTAATTTAGAATGGATTATTTTGACTATCACTTTACACAAGAGCATAAATATTTTTATCACAAGTACTTGGAAAGAAACCGATTTTTCATCTTGCTTGGATTAACATGAAGGACTAATCGCATTAACGGTTTTTAACTTGCTACGATAAACATTCATAACAGTATAATTTGCTTAAAATTGCTCATTAATAGCTAAGGTGACGTCATGTCAAGTTCAGTTCAAATGTTTTATTCTCAATTTGAATACACCTTCAAGTTTGTAGTGTAGCATCTCGGTGTGTTATGTTGAATTTGTGGTTTTTCTGCCAGTCATTATTCACACCTCTGTTCATTTGAACAACATGTTTGGAATCAAAGTGACCGTCATTTCAATTCCCTGCCTCTATGTCATTGCACTAAAGATTATCTCTCTGATGTCTAGAAATAATAACTACATATTAAAATGTTTATAATTTGGTTAAAAGTTTAAATGCTAACATTATTACCATTTTTTTACCTTTTTTTCTTTAGCACGTCCTAGTAATTGTGTGTTTCGTCTTGAAACACACAATGATGTGGGATATGGATCGACCTGTACAAAGTACAGAGTGTATGAAACGTGACAGACACTAAAACCAAGAATACACCTTATTTACTCCCGCCATGTGGCGGTACAGATTTAGGTTCGATACAATTAATATCGTTCAGAATATTTTGGAAAGGAACGACCTTCAACAAAATATTTAATATTTACCATCCGTGTCTCCGGATGTCTAAATGTGAGTTGCAAGCTAATTTAAAAAAATTCAAACGCTTAGGTATAGAAACAGATGTTAAACAGAATTGACGTTCTCATTTGCATGTAATTGCCTGCTTCGTACATAAGTTACGAGAATCGACTATCGAAACAGTACATATTCCATTTTTCAGATATATTTGTTTACACACATTCCTTAATATTAAAAATAAGTCTGTAGGGTAATACACTGCGAAATATCTAATTAGTATGAAATATACAAATATAAGTACATATGATGAAATGGAAACAATGAAGCAATAGTTTTCGTACTTGAGGTAAAATGTCTGCCATTGGCGATCATATTGGTAGACCTGGTATCGCCTGATCGCTTACGTCATAGATCATAACACTAGACGTCATATTAAGATTATATTTACATTAAGCGGCAGTGTTTATTTCTGTCAAAGTGACTACTTTGTAACTGTACGGAGTACTGTATCAGAACAGTGGCAAGATGGTTTTGTGTTAATTGTAAGAAGGTGTGCCTTTTCTCATGTACAGTATGCGAAAAATTAATGATGGTTTAATGTTAGGATTTATAACATTATGTGCAGTGTGTCAAAGATGAATATATAATTATTTCTTTTGTGATTTGTCACCATGTCAATTTTCAGGAGAGGGCACTGTTTATTCATAATATTATTCATTATAGGAGTTGTCATTGCAATTGTTTAATGTGTACATAATACGCTGATTTTAATTAAATTCAGGTATTAACAAACAGAATGAAAGTGTATGTTTACGGTGACTGGTCCACTGAGAAGTTTGTAACTGTATCCTGTTATCACAGTCCCTTAGGTGGTAGAGCAGGCATTTTTCACCCCAAGTGCACAAATGCAGATCTTGCCAGGCTTGTGGTAGCCCCTGTTCATGCAAGTCTTTCCATGGAAAGTCTAGACAGAATATTGTGTTCAGGTGTGTTGAAGTTACTCTTTCAGGATGGCAGTTGCAGTGAAGATGGTTCCATTTAGAGCATATACTTTGTATGCATAAAATTGTTCTTAGGAATCTAGGTTTTGTACTTTTAAGCTTCTTCAGGTTGTTTACTGTAAGGTCTTGCCAGGTAAGTTGCCCTGTAGGATGCAGCACAGGAGATTTTAAGATTGAAGAGGCCAGGTGATAACACAGTCAAGTTTGGGATATCATGAATTGCTCATATCACAGATTCAACTCTGCAGCATTGTTTCCGGGCATTTAAATTAAGTGACAAATTCCATTTGTGCCCACAGGTGCAGTAGTTATGGCTTGCCAAGTTCCCTCTATTTCTGAACTTCATAACATTTGTTTTGGTCCCATTAATGGTGATGTCATTTTCCATTGCCCATGTGTTAAGACCATTAGAAGCTTCTTGTAGGTCTTGAGGGATTGATGAGACAAGGACCATATCATCTTATGTCTTAAGTAATACATTGTTGTCCATTTATTTGTTATAATTATAGGCATTTATGTTTCAAGTCTTAGTAATCCCAGTAATGTTTATTTTATTTTATGCTTATAATATTAGTACCACCTCTTTGTTATGGTAAATTAGTTGTAAGAGTTACTTAATAAATAGGAACTCAAAGATGTGGGACCAATTTCTAGATTTGAGGTCATTATTTGGGATGGATTACAGTAGTATTTGTTGTTGTTGTTTATGTGTTTTTAGGAAAGAGGTTCTGTGCATTACATGCTTGAAAGTTGCAGAGATCATCATCTTTTCGATTTTTCCAGACACTGGCTGTCGCTGAGTACACAAACATATAGAGCAACCTCGGAGGAGGTTGTAAAAATGTCAGTTGGCGGCTCAATACTGAGGAGTATGTCTGTCAGTCATTGGAAACTTATAAATCAGCTGAAAGAATATGTGTCAAAATCCTCTTCAAATGAGAAAGGATTTCTGTTTGTTCTCAATAAAGAATGGGCCTCTGTGCTACAGAAACTGACCATGACTTATGACTCAGTAGAGTCTCATACAAGAAGAAATGTTGATACAGACACTGCTATAGTTGACAAGAAAATAAAAAGTGAGAAGGAACCTCCAAAGACAGATTCCAAAGAGCCTGCAGCAAAGGAAGATGAAGGTTACAGTTTGCCACAAGTACTGACTGGTCTAAAATTGAAAAAGAATTCCAGTCAGAATGTTGAAATGCCTGAAGAATCAATACCAAAATGGAAATCATCAATAGAAGCTGTGTCAAAGGTAATGAAGAAAGTTGGTAATTGTGCAAGTATATTGATGTCATCTTGGCTTTTATTTAATGCAAGAATTATCTACATTTTCAGATCAGCATCAATTCCAGAACAAGGCATGTAATAGCATCAATTGCTAATGCTGAAAGTGTACAGTCTAGACTGAAACGTCTGGAAGATCTAGCTAGTCATTTGAATCAATATCCAGAAGCCAAACACCTTGCTATAAAGGTAACACTCATTGTGTTTTCTCATCTTTTATCACTGGGCATATTGAGCTAATGTTAACACTAGATGTATATTTAGGAGGTTTATGATTTTAATTCTGGCTGTGCTACAAGTTTTCTTTATTGAGATTTGTTATTATTTTTCTCATTTTCTCTATGTGAATGTTGTGATAGTACCTTCAGATAGTCCATAACCATCTTTTTCCAAATTCATACTTATTCATTATTCATCTTCATCTTCATTTCATTTCCAATTTTTAGCTAGTTAATTTGAACAACTTTTTATAGGCATTTTAGTTTTTGGAAGATAATTTCCTTTTTCCCTCTTTGGCTGATTCCCCACCAGAATTTTGTAATCCTTACTAAAATCTTCCCTTGTTCATTCTGTCTTTAAAGTGAAACATGTCATGCTGGTTGATAACCAGTGTTTAACTGCATTGCATACTTCTAGTGCATTTATGGTGGCTTGGATAACTGTTGTCAATTGTGTTCTATATTTTGCTTTTGCCATTGTGGGTATCACAGTGCACAAGGTGTATTCAAAAGTGTGAGTACACAGTATACTTCATTGGGAATGTCATGGCCTGTCCTTAAGTGCAAGTTAAAAGGGAAGCTTGTGATAGAATAGTTTGGCCTTGCTGAAGAGAGATTTTCACACAATGGTTACAGACAAACTGGTGGATATAGAAGCATTTAAAGGACAAAACGAACAGTGTTGTCCTAGTGAGTCTTGACGTAAGAGGAGCGTTCGACGCGGCCTGGTGGCCAAGTATCCTCCTTAATTTGAAAGAGCTTAGATGCCCAAAGAATCTGTATGAGTTAGCACAACATTATTTTAGCCACAGATCTGCAACATTCTCAGTCAAAACATACAGAGTTACGAAAGAGGTTGGCGAAGGTTGTCCGCAAGGCTCCTGCAGCGGACCTGGCTTCTCGAACATAATGTATAACTCACTCCTCAACCTGAACTTTTCAGAACACTCTCTGGTCATTGCATTTGCTGATGATTTAATAATTCTGTCAAATGGCGCGAGCGATATGGAAGCAGAAAATTATGCCAATGCAGATGTTAGAAGAATAGAAATATGGGCAAAAAATAACAAAGTACAATTTAATGATAGCAAGTCTACGACCATGCTGATTACAAAGAAAAGGAAATCTGCAAATAAACAAATTAATATTTACGTAAACTATAAACGAATTAAACAAGTCAAAGAAATAAATACTTGGGAATACATTTGAATAGCAAAGTAACAGTATAACAGAAAAGACTATTCAACTTATACATATGCTGACGAGAGCAGCAGAGCTGCATTGGGGTTTAGGCCACAAAGCTTTGAGAACAATATACAAAGGAGCTATTATACCTTTACTGACATATGGAGCTCCTGTTTGGGAAGGAGGCCTACAGAAAAAGAAGAACATATATAAACTACAGAGAGCATAAAGGCTGATTAATATTAAAATAGCGAAAGCCTACAGAACACTATCATATGAAGCTTCATGTGTCGTTGCCGGGGTTAAGCCTATCTGCATTACTATCGAAGAAGCAGTGCAGATATATAAAACTACACACGGACTGAAAGATGACTCTACCGAGTACGAAGCACCATTAAACAAGAAGGAATGGCCTCATCCTGCGGAGAGAATAACTCTTGATGAAGTGAAAGACTTCAATAAATACAATGTGGAAATCTATACAGATGGAAGTAAACACCAGGGAGGGGTGGGTGCTGCCGCTGTTATCTTCAAAAATGGAGAACTAATTTATAGTTTAAAAACCAATTTACCTGATCATTGCTCAAACAATCAGGCTGAGCAGATTGGAATTCTAGAGGCCTTGGATGTAGTAACAACTTTAAGGGACATCAGCATTGAGGAAACAATAGTAGCGGTGTACACAGATAGTCAAGTTTCTCTCGATCTACTAAAAAGCAACTTCAAACACGGCTTCATAATATCTAAGATAAGAAATAAATTAAGGAAACTTGATGATCAAAATTGGACTATTCATTTTGGGTGGATCAAAGCACACATCGGAATTTTCGGTAATGAAATAGCAGACAGATTAGCGAAGGCAGCAGCAGCAGAAAATGGTGGAAATGTAGTATATGCAAAGAAGCCTAAAAGTACAATTATTAAAGAAACAAAGGCAAAATGGCAAAATGAGTGGAACACCACCAATAAAGGAGTGTAACCGCTCATCTGGAATTAGTTTGGTTTTGTTATTTGTTCCTGTGTGTTTCCAGTATGTCAAAACCTTTCTGTAAGATTTTAGCACCACCTGCAGAGAACAAGGAGGGACTTCAGCCCTAAGAGCTAGAAGTCGTGTTTAGGCCATCTGGTTAATATCCGATTTCGACTCCGCCTACGACAGACAGTAGGAGCAAGTGTGGAGGATCGTGTTGGGCGGTCCGTGAGAGGTCTCTCTCTGTCATGACAGCAGGGGGTGTTTCGCACCAAGCCCGGGACCCTGGCGCCGAAGAAAATTAGGGGAGACTCACTCTTGTTTTAAGTCGCGATAGCGAAGGTTCTAGGACATACTGGAAACTGTATATTGTATACAAATAAATAGTAGTGCATTCCAACTTCAATCCGAATCATTGTTGGCTGGTGTGATCAGGCCGTTAACACGACCTGAGACAAGAGCTACATCCCGACTAGCTAGCCCCTAACAATCCTACACCCTGATAAGGCAGCTGTTACGAGGCCACGAGCAGTGGACGGTTACAGGAGCAGTGTGCAAGAAATTCTTCCCATCAGTGTGACAACGAATGCAGCTAAACATTGTAATACGTCGCGAACTAACTGCAATATTGACTGGACATGGCAAAAACAAATCATATCTACACAGGTTTGGGATCATTGACAACCCAACATGCTCATGTCTGAAAGCAGCACAAACAGTGGATCACCTCATCTATGAGTGTGAAAAACTACAACAACCAAGGCGTAAATTAATAGATGCAATAGCCAAGAATGGTGGCACATGGCCAGTGTTACATGAAGCACTTGTTCAAAAATATTTAGGTCATTTTAATACATTCATTAAATCTATAGATTATAATACAGTTTAGCACAGGAACATAGGTACAAATGGTGGCAATGAATCACGATATTACAATTGTGTAATCTGTTAACGTGTTATACATTAATGCATGTAATATTACAATCTTGTAATGGGGCATGCTGAATGAATGAATAAATAAATAAATAATAAAGATAATGAAAGGATATATGTGCCATTTTTCTGAAGAATGATTGAATATGGCAGTTGAACATTGTCTAGATGTAGAAACTGGTAACTGAAGATAGCCCTTTTAATATTGTACAGCACTCACATCTCTTAAATTATATAAAATATGTTACATTTGTTTGGGGGGGGGGGGGGGGGGACAAAGAAGGCAAGAAACTTTTTCAGTGAAAAGATGAAACTCCTTGAAATTTCTGTCCTTCCATAACAGCACTAAAACTACTGAACTAAGTTCATTGAAAATTAATTTGGTTTATCAAAGATAAATTTGTGAGGCCATTTTGATTTAGTTTGATTAATTTTTTGAGTGCCATCTTTTACTTCAGAGAATAAATTAACTATTAGGAACACATTTTAAGTAATTTGACAGATTTGGATTGAAATTTGTATACAGCACTTCTGTTTTACAAGTGTTTTACATGTGTAATTTACAGTCTCATGTATTTTAAAGGGCCCAATGCTCTTTTAAAATTACATGTTATTTTAATCCTTAGGCAGATTTTTATGACAGCACCTCTGGTGTCTATATTATAACCATGTGTGAACATTATTTTCCTTCATCCATTTTAAGGGCCTAAATATGTTTTGAGGCATATTTAATGTCTTAAAACATAGAGGGGTCCATAAGATCAAGTTGTTATGTCTTATACGAGGTCTGTTCAAAATATATCGGACCTTAATTTTTCACTGCAAGTGAATCTGCTCATTCTTATTCTGTTTTCCAACATATTACAATTAAGTATTCTAGTTTTGTTAGTATTATTCTGATAACCAGAAACCTGTACCATTCTTCTTGTGTATGTTATTGATCTCTTAAACTGCTGTTGTGTTTATATGCACTTACACACATCTGTTACTCAGTTTTCTGTTGACATCCATACCAGTGAAAGATCACTAGAGCCACACTGTTGAAAAGTGTAATTTTTCTCCCCATGAATAGATGTACTGCATCACAGCCATATCCCTGCACAGTGCAGTTTGTTTGATATATGAATTCAGTCATGATACCTTTTGATCATGCAAGGTGACAAATGTCCACTCTTGTCAATTGCTACTTTGGACAGTTCTGTTTGTGGAGTGCATGGCTGCTAATTATGAACAGCTGTTTTAAAGGGAACCAGCTTTATTTTAAAGATTTTGTTCAAACATATAACAATACACTGTAATGATAATCTGCGTGATTTACCGTCTTATTCGTTGCCTATTATGTTTGTGAATTTTTATGTAAAAAATCTGGCCACCAACTCAATCTATAAAAAAATTTATGCCAGAAAGTTGCTGATAACCTTTATAACAGTATTCTTAATTTTGTCTTAGGAAGGAGTCCTTCGCCTTTTGCTTCAGACACGTAAAAGAACAGATGATGAACTTACACTAGCTGTCTTGCGTGAAACATTGGCTGTACTTGGCCATGTTGATCCTTTGCCTGGAAGAGGAATTAGGATTCTTTCTATTGATGGTGGAGGAATAAGGTAATAATGTTTCTTTTCTTTAACTATCTGTACTGATCATGACAGTATTTATATTCCAAAGAAGTTTGTGAAAGTAGCATGGTGTGTGTTGTTCCATTTACCATCATTCTACAAGATAACAAGGACTGCTGTGTTTCAAATTCAGTGGAAGTATTTGACTAAAATATAATAAAAAACAAATGGCTGATGTATATAACAGTAGGGAAAACAGTACAAATATAAAGTAATTGAAGTGAATATTTTAAATTTTTAAGGGACTTCAAGCTGACTGAAAGCCCATACTTTATAAATTAATACATAATTGTAGGTTATTGTAAATCATGATTTGAGTAAAACAGTCTTGCAAAATGACCAGAATTCATATTGATTTATAACTTAATTTCAGGAATTTAGGAGAGAGAAAGTTTACATACATAGCTTATAAGTGATGTAAAATCCATTTCATTACAGTTGTTTTCCTTGTAAAAAAAAGCATAAAATACATTTTCAGTGAAATTATGAAAGTTCTAGAAATTATTATTTCAACTTCTAGAAATATGTTTCTGTACATTGAAATGTATGAAGATGTAGTTGAGGAAAATGATAAGTAGTGTTCTGTCAGTGCTGTCAGTAGATAAGGATCAATGTAAAGCCATCACGGACTTTAACACTTTAATTGTCGAACGTTTTGCAAGGCTAAAGAACAGACAAGTAGGATTTTGAGGTTTTCATGGCTGTGAGTCTGAAGATGACTGTCTTCTGGGTTGTTGCACTATGTAGGCTGGTAGAAGTTTACCAATGCTTCAGAGGTCCTTGCTGCCTCCATCATCACCCTGAAGGACCTCTGAAATGTCGGTAAACTTCTACCAGCCTACATGGCATAGCAACCCAGAAGACAACCATCTTCAACAGATAGATACTTTTTTCTTTCTTTTTCCTTCTTCCAAAATTTGTTTGCAGAAATGCAATCCACTATGAGTAAGTCATAGTAATTTTTTCTCTTTTTCAACATGCACTAACTAAATATTTATTCTCGCCTTGTTCGTATTATCTTTAATATGAATAATATATACTCTCTTGCTTTGTACAGTGTAGTTCTCTAACATCTATTTTGTGGGGTAGGTACACACACATGTTGAATACATTTTTTTATTATTATTTTAGATTATTGCTACCTAAGAAGTGTTTGAGCTGCCAGTGGTTTGGAACATTATGGTAGTGTACAAAAGACCATTATTGAGGATGCCCTCTGAGGCAAAAGCCTACTGCATTTTTTCTGTTTCTTTTATCAACTTTATTATACAATTTGCATACACCCCAGACATTCGTGGCCTTCAACTTTGGTACTTGGTTTATGGAAGGATTTATGAAAATGGTCGATATGGAAAATGCCACTGTACTTGATCTGCCATAAGAGTATTTATTAATGTTTGCTACAGTCCATTACATGTTGGTTACATACTTCTGGTTGTGAGACCATGTTGTGTAGTTGTCAGTATTTGAGGAAATGTTTTAACCATCTGTGAAACTATGTGGTGTTATAATCCAAGAGATTTCAACCAATATATTCACCTCCATGAGAACCTCAGATATCTGATTCCATTGTATTTTTCCTATACTAATGAACTCCATGGAGCAGAGTCCTCCTTGAGAAGCAAATAGTACACTGAGCTAGTCAAGAAATTTCTCACTTTTTAGGGAACCTGCATGTTTGTATGTTTTCAGTACATTATTATGTGAATAGTAAGTGTGAGTAAAGTTCTTTTATTTTAGATATCTGTCTTTGTAGCATACTGACAATTTATTTCTATAGAACAATATCTTATCTGTCACAATTGCATGACTGTTACAGATTATTTGACATGTGATACATGATGTAAAATCCATTTTTGCATAACTGTGTCAAATACTGTACCTTCCTTTTCAGATTTTATTCCTACTGCTATGCCTTTCATACTGACTTCTTATGTGGTCGAGCAGTGTCCTTGAGTAGCTAATAATACTTCCTCAGCTAGGCAAGAAATTATCCCCACCTATTGTAGAACCCGAAGATTTATAAGGTTATGAACAATTCTGTGTTTAGAAAATGTGCCACTAGGCCCTATCCAGAGCCAGATGAACTCTGTCTGTCCTCGCACCCTGTTTCTTGAAGACTTATTTTAATATAATCCTTCCATCTGTGCCCAGGTTTCCAAAGAGCTATCCTGTCTTTAGGTTATTTATCTAGAATTTTGTATGTGTTTATAGCTATCCCGCCCTAATATTATGTGGTGGACAGTACACATTAAGAAGTTGTTCGTTATACAGTTTTCTGTAGCCTCTTGTTGCCACCTGTCTAGATCCAAATGTTCTTCTCAGCATTTTATTCTCAAACACCCTCAGTCCATATTCTTCCCTCTAAGTGATTGACAAAGTTTTACACCCATATAAAATAAAATGTAAAAATATATTTCACCATGTTTTTAGATAGGAAATGGGAAGGCAAAGGATTTTAAAACAAATGATAGCATGGCATTCTTAAAATCTTATCAGATCTTAATTTGTTTGTGTATGTTATTTTTATTTGTGGCTGTCATTTTCAAATATTTGAACTTTGCCACAGTTTCAAACAATTTGTTAGATTTCACCCTTCAGATTTTATGACAAATATTTCATTGGTATCTTTCATATATATTAATTGGATGTCTGAAAACTCTGGGAATTTGTTCTTTTTTAATTTCACAATTTAATATGTCCTTTCATGTGACGCTGTGGATTATGCAGTGAAATGCTTTAAGTGAATCACATCTCAGAACATGTAATTTGACTGCTTGATTATTACAAAGGAAAATTTTGTGAAAGAAAAGTCTAAACATGATGGAATTCCAATAAATATGTCATACTTAATTCCTGAATTTTCATATTGTGTGACATCTCTGTACCCCACACTTCCATTCAGCAATTTTCATAATATAAGTTGATGTTCCTTGTTGCACATGCATATTCATGTAACTTAAAGGAAATCAGTAACAAAATTATTATTCTTAAGTAAATTTTCCCTCACCAAGTTTTTTACTGCATACTCTTCATATTATAAATTACAGGCATGATCTTGAGTAGCAGAACATAAGTAATTGTTTTGTATTTATTTTGCAGAGGTGTACTTGTGATAGAGTTGTTAAAGAAGTTGGAGGAGCTCACTGGAAAGCGGATTTATGAGATGTTTGATTACATCTGTGGTGTTAGTACAGGAGCCATACTTTTATGTGTTCTTGGTATGCATGCTTAATATATACATGTATGCACAAGATATTTAAATGTTTCAACAGTAAAGCAGATTGTGTGGTTCTGAAAGTGATTTTTTGCTTCATTTTACAGTGCCACAAAAGAAAACATTGACTGAGCTATCAGAAATGTACAAAGAATTGAGTACAAAGATATTCACACAGAGTGCATTTTGGGGAACAAGTAACCTGGTGTGGAGTCATTCATACTATAACACTGAGATGTGGGAACAGCTCCTCAAGATATATGTTGGAGAAACTCCGCTTATAAGAACAGCTAGAGATCCCTTAATGCCGAAAGTAAGATGAGTTGTGTTTGATGACTATAGATAATTATACCCAGCTTATAACTGAAAGGCAGCCTTTATTACCTACAATATACAAAACCATCTGACTTGGTGTTTGTCACTGTGTTTGAATCAAGTCACCGATAACACGTGATTATATAAGTAGGGTGGCTTTGGTACACATGGTAAACAAGAGGTACAGTACATGAGATATACAATAGTTTAAAATAATATACTTCTTGGATGTTATCCATCATCTTAATATAATTAAAACATAACATTTTAGAAACTGAGTCCATAGGTAAAACCTACTCTGTTTATATCAATTGAGATATTCTGTCTCTCTGGATGGGTTGAATTTTTGGTTATAAGTGTAAGTTTTCACTTTTCCAGGATGAGGAGTGGGTGTGTAAAATAAATAGAAAAATTACCATGTAGTAATTGGCTAGACTGGGAATGAAAGTATTCTTGAAATTTGATATTTTTATAAACTTGTTGTTTACATATTTCTATAAATTATATAGTATAACATGTAGTTTGAATATAATTGGTTGTGATGATAGTCAAGTTTAAGGTTCTTTAACATATCTTGTGTAGGAATTGGGATTTAATTCCTGTGTTACCAGACTGCCAGATGGACATCCTCTCCAGGATTAACAGTTTAGCAATGTGCTACTGGAACATACTGCCAGCTGGAATGCATGAAGGCCATGTTGACAGAGGATAACAAGTTGGCACAATGAAACATATTTTCTCTGTAGAATGAGGAGTGATCATTTTTGAGACATAACCATAATTGGTCTCTTTTGCAGTTGTCTATGATTTCTGCTGTGGTAAACTTGCCAAGAGTAACAGCCTATATATTTAGAAATTATTCACTGCCATATAAAGTTCAGTCACCATACATGGGAGGTACCCAGTACAAATTGTGGGAGGCTGTAAGGGCATCTGCAGCAGCACCATCATACTTCGAAGAATATAGATTAGGTGAATTATTACATCAGGTACGTGTAACAAATGTCGTCCTCAGTGGACCAGTGGTTAGCGTGCTCTCCTCTGGAACCAAGGTTCTCGGGTTCAATCCTGGCTGAAGTCAATGGATTTTATGGGTGATAAAAATCCGTAACACAACTTCCTTCGGATGGGAAGTAAAACCGGCGGTCCCATGTTGTAGATTTATGGCATGTAAAAGAACCTTACGAGCATGATATGAGATGTTTCGTAAGCAAAATTCAAGGGCCATTTCTCACCCAAGTCTCCTGATTAACAGCAAGATGGCTCTGGTAGGATTGAGTAGAAATTGTGCAGTCAGTGGGCTGGTCGCTCACTACTCATAAATGCACAGTTCAAGACCAAGAAACCTTTGAAAAGGAGGCGGCGAAAACCCACAACTGGGTTGTAGAGCCAAGAAACATGACTTGTAACAACTAATGCATAATACTCTTTGGTTTATAAATTATTACATACAAAAAGAAGTATACAGTTAAGATAATTCAGTTATGTGCCATTTTCTATAATATTTTTGTTACATCTTGAAGTAAACAGCTCTTTACAAACATGATATATCTGAAGATTTCTGTCTTCTGTGAAAACCTCAAATCATACATGATTATGATCTGTTTATATCAATCATGATTATCTGTAGTCATGTGCAAGTTTTACAAATAATTATAGTAATGCTATTATTAATACAACTTGAGAACATTTTACATTATCTACTTTTATTGACATTCATGTTTTGTGCGTTTCAGGTTTAGCATTTTATTGTCTGGCTTTCTGATATTTCTTAAGAGAACTAGTGCCCAAACTGTTATAATATTTGTATTCAATATTAAAGCACTGGTTTATAAAGATGCCATAAAATCCACAACTTGTCATTAAATCCTAATGCTATTGAAGTGATAATAGACATGAAATTAAAATAACAGTATTGATTTCTTTAGTTCATTTGAAGATTATAAATGACATAAAAGGTTGTGTTGTCATAACCATTCATTTTAGGGCATGAATTTAATGATAATTACATTAATTCACTCTTTGTTTCTTGCTGTGCAGTAACTTTCGCATGTCAGGTACAAAGAGGTGTTGTAGAAGGTTGGCCACTGGAAATGCTAAAAAGAATTGTCAGTTGGTGCAGGATGTGTGAAAATGCTAAAAATCCAGAGCTGTCCTTTATATGAATGTATTATTGCAGTTACCTTTGTGTAGGTGTTTAAAGCTTAATGCTACAGTTAAACTGTAAACATTAACAGTATAGTTGATATGAAAAATTAGGCTTTACATTGAATTGTCAATGAACATTAATGTTATTACTTCTTACATAGTTACAGGAAAAGGAACTATGAAATGCAAGATTTCTTTTGTAACATTAGGTAACATTATAGAGGCCATAATTTTGTTTTGCTTGCTGCAGTTATATCAGATTTAAGAAACAAAATATGAAGTTGCCCAATAAATCAAGAACTTAGTTTATGCTGAAGTTGAATTATACCCATATTGATTCACACTGGTAGCTACTTTGTAAATGTAAATACAGTCACACATTTCATTTTTAGAGGATCTATGCAAGTGTGATACCGTAGAATAATAGATGAGTTTCTTCATCTCAGGATGGTGGTGTCTTAGTAAACAATCCAACAGCTGTGGCTATCCATGAAGCAAAGCAGTTGTGGCCTGGTTGTCCAATCCAGTGTGTAGTCTCATTTGGCACAGGGCGCACAAATCCAGTAATATGTGGTGAAGATGTCAATAGTTCATCCTGGAAAACAAAGTTTTTCAAAATACTTGACAGTGCAACAGATACAGAAGGTAACTTATACAAACCTTGCCATCAGAGTATTCCACTTAAAATAATTATGTGAAACTGTGATATACACAGTGGCATTTCATCTTTAAAAACAAGAGAATTTCTCACTTTTTCTTATGGCAATGAACATTTCACAGCACACAGCTATTATTCTCAAATTTGTGAGTGACTTTAAAAGCTGAAGGTGTGTTGTTGCCAGAAAATTAGAACATTCAGTTTTTTAAACAGTCAGTGTAACATAAAATTCCTTTTGTCAGTGGAGAAAATGTATCGGTAGCATATGCGAGAGAAAGTACCTTTTGTACCTCTAGGTTTCACCCTGTTTTGCTCTAAGCTTTCATGCAATTGTTCTTGTATTGTTATTGCAGCTGTTCACACAATGCTTAATGACCTTCTGCCTGGCAGTGTGTACTTCAGATTTAATCCATATGTAACTGAAATGGTGACAATGGATGAAATTCGACCAGACAAGATAGGTCAGTTGGAACAAGATGCAGCTATGTATTATCGTCGTAATGAAGAGACATTTCAGGAGGCAGCAAAAGCATTAATGCATTCATCTACATGCATGCAACGAGTTCTTAATTGGATAAATCTTCACAGAGAGCTCTTAGGAATCAAATAGAAATATACTTATTATAAGGATCATTCCAAGTTCTGACACAGATGATTGGTTTGTGTGTCAAAACTTAGATTCATCTGATAGAGCCAATGTACTGCCAAGTAAAGCAACCTGTTCAAAATTTTTTCATGTATTATTAAACAGGAAGTTGTGTGCAGTCTAAGAATCTTCACCCAGTGTTATACTTAACTTTTATTTCCAACTTATGAGAGCTCTGAGGCAAGGATGAGTAGCAGAAATTGTTGAAAATCAAATATTTTTCACAAATCACAGTCTAGGATACCTCAGTCAGTATATTGATTAGGCAAGCCATGCCATAGCTTGGACAGTCAGGTGCTGACTTCTCACTTAAAACAGCTTGCATTTGTGCCCAGGTCAATCCAGTGAGATTTGTGGTGAATAAATTGGCACTGGTACAAGTTCTTTTCTGAATTCTTTGGTTTTTCCTTACATCTATCAATACACTGCTGCTCCGTTTTCATTTACGTATCATCTGGGGGATGACAATGGACATGCTGGTGGCCACAATTCCACGGAGACATGGTCACTCAACAGTAACAGTGATACAGGCTTGGCTATAGGTATATCTGATATAAAATAAAAGTGTTAGTTCATATTTTTCTGTTTCTTTGCACATTTCTCATCCTGAGTATGCAACATCACAGGAACTTAAAGTTTATATTCTTCCATTCAGCTGCACCATTTTTGTGAGATGATTCACATGTTTCCATTTGGTCATATCTCTCTTTGACATGATGCTGATAACGTCACTACAGAACATATAACAAGAGTGACATTTCTACACCTAAACAGTGTTGTCTCTATGGCAGACTTATAACAACAGATTGGCTGTGGTTGTTTCCAGATTACAATATTGTCACATCATGGAAGGAGGAAACAAGTATCTTCCAGTAATTCATGTGTTTAAATGATCTGTTCAGGTTCATATGAACCTGAATTGATTGTCACAACAAACAGTCCTCCCACCTTTAGCTCGTCTTGGTTGTACCTGTCCATTACCTGGTACCTCTCTTGAATTGCTGCTGTGTTTGGAAACAGCTGTACTTACATTTGATGTCACTTATCTGAACTGTTACTGGGTTTGTTATACTTATGTTGTAGTTTTTTAATCCTTACTTCCTTATAAATTCTGTTTTCATTCTTTTACTTCAGTGAATTCTCTCAAATTGAAGAGAATGGAATGAATATGAAATTATTTTTGTCCAGTCATGCTGATCTGCTAATGTGTGACCTATGCAAATAAAAATTATAGAATGTACTGTTATATTTCTTCCCCCCACTCCCCAAGTTTCTTTTTCATTGGTCTGGCCCATTTGCTGAATTATAAAATACTTCTTGTTTGATAATTTATTAGAAATGCTTTGTATAATAAGTGTGTGTGAAAACAGAACCTGTTTTCAGATCATGTGAGTAGTTTGTACTGTATTTTCATGGAACTTCCATTAAAGCTGATGAAGGTGCTATAAATATATTTGTGATGAAGATGCTGAGAGGAATTTTTGAAGTCATTAAGGAAGATCATTTGACAAGAAGGTATAATTATTAATTATACAGACTATATGGAGACCAGAATTTGGTGTCATATTAAAGTAAGACAAATTCAATTGGCAGGACATATGACCAGGTTGGAAGAATCAGACCCAGCTAAGCAAGTACTAGAATCACAAATTTATGGAATCCAGGAAGTTGGTAGGCCCAAACTAAGATGGATAGGTTGGGTGGCCCAGGATAGAATGAGATGGAGGAGGATTGTAGCAGAAGCCAAGACCCGATCTGGGTTTTAATGCACTTGGTGGTAAAGTGAGTAGTCTAATGGAGGGGGAGAGGGAATTTTAGAGGTGAAAGTGTAGTTAATCTTCTTACCGACTGGGCTGTCATGTCGCCGTTGTTCTTGTGAATCGCTTATAGGGTACAGCACAATGCGTATTGCACTGTGTTACTCTGGAATAGCTTTGATGTAATGCAGCTAGATCATCTTGTGTGCCGTAGTGTGTTGTGGGTGTTTTAAGGTAGTAACATTTTGTAGATATGTATATCTTCATCCATTCAATCCGTAATAATATTGTAATTCTATTACTTTGCAGTTAATGCGCAGTGTTGGAACTGTATATTGAGAGAAACTTTTATTGGTATTTATGATATCAGTTCATAACTTTCTGTTGAAGGCGTACTTGCGTTTTAGGCCTGTGTTTGCTATTCATATACAGTTGTGTGTGTCTGCTGCATGCTAGGACCAATATTTATGTGAAGAGGTGTCATTATTTGGTTTTATTATTTTTTTCTAGGCTCGTAGAAATGGCGAAGTCCAAAAACCATACTAATCACAATCAAAGTGAGTATTGAAAGGTTTCTGATTAGATTGAAGATTGTGATCCATGTGTGGAAGTTAATGGTTAGTGCTGCATATTAGGCGAAATTATATAAAGGGTTATTTATCCACGCATTTTAATACACAATAGAAGTTGGCCAATACAGTGTTGCAAGAATGTTTTGAATGTAATCGGTGTTCTGTTACAGACAGGAAAGCCCATCGAAATGGAATCAAGAAACCGAAGCATTATAGGCACGAGTCTACGAGAGGAGTAAGTGGTCAAGCACGAATCAGTTTTGAACTATGTACAGTAAAACTTAAGTAGTGAAGTTTTGAATTTGTCGTAAGGGAGTTGTGTTTAAATGGGTTAACCTATTTCATTAACAATGAATTATAATGCAATGCCTTTGTGCTTTCTGCATTATAATGTATGGCTCATTGGAGTGAAAAATGGTTTTAATAAGCTCTTATCAGTTTTTGTTTTGTAGGCATATGAACTGCATTAAAACTTGTTGGCCATTTTTGAAAGAGCGATAGAATGTATGTGCTGTTGTAATGAATGTAGGTAAACACCAGACCACAACCCAGAAGACAGCTGCCTTCATACTCACTACTATGAAAATCTCATCATAATTGGTTAAAAAAATTCATACTTTAGGATATGCTCAAATCAGATTATCACTGTGTTGTGTTCAAGAGTATGCAGTACAGCATCAAAGAACAAACAAAAAATTATCTCTTATTCTCATTCATATCCCTCCATGGAAGTTTCTGTAAAATGTCATGTCTGATCTGTAAGGTGGTGGTTTTATTGTAGTTAAATTTTATTTTTCAGGTTGATGCAAAATTCCTCCGAAATCAGCGATTTGCTAAAAAACACAATTTGAAGCCTGAAGAGCAAAAGAAACGTGCAGAACAAAGGAAGGCTTCTAAGGCAGAAACTTCATAATTTATAATAATGGTACAATAAATTAAACTACAGCATTGCATAAAGGTGTTTATTAATACAAAATAACCCTGATTCCTGTCCTCTTTAAATTTTCATACATCACATGCAAAGTCTTTAGAGCATTAATAAATATTAGTCTTGTGGGTTGTAAGTAAAAGTCTTTTGAAAGAAAATTTTCAAGACTGTCTAGAGCCCACAGAATGTAACAATTGTTGATTCAAGTAGAATTCAATACACATTTTATGCATAATTAAATGTTCAAAGGTTTACATTACTTGGGGTATAATCACAGTTTTCATTCTGTTTTTAACTTAAGTTTATTGTCTTCTCAAATAGAACTTGTTAAAAAAATATCCTGAATTCATGGTAAATCAAGAAACCTATCTAACTTATGCATGACTGTAACTTGTTTTTTTGTTTTAAGGGTTGAAACAGATTTTAACTTTCTTTGTGTTGGCTTAAATTTTGAACTTGGTACTGGAAATTCATCAAATTTAGAATGGCCTCCTAAACCATCATATGTTTCTTCAGGACTTGCATCCACTGAAGAACTTAGTTTTGTATGATGGGCCTTTTTGAATATGCTGAATTTATTGCTGCCTGAAGATAATTTCAGATTCATGCTCTGAGAACCCTTCAGGGGAGTCAGGCCGAAACTGCATGATTTAATATTCAGGTATGGTGATTCTGGATCAGACGTCTCTTGTGCTTTGGACCCAGGTGATAGTAGTGTACCAAACTGCAAATAAGACAGTAAGATATTCCATATGATAATCACTTTGTCACCAGTTGCATATACAAACTTAATTTAACAATAAAAACTGTGTAGCTGTTAACTTGCTGCATAGTCCATCATTTGAGAATGAACCAATCCAACTCCATGGAACATTCATCCTTGAGAACCCAATAAATAACTATACTTGGTTAATTAGAAATTTCCCGCATTTTATGGAACTTGAATGTTAATTACCATGTTACAAGAGCCTGCCATTGGCCATCCTGAGTCAGATGAATACAAGCCACACCCAAAACCAAATTTCCCTAAGATATATTTTAGTATTATCCTTCCATCTACACCTATGTCTTCCAAGTGGTTTCTTGCCTTGCAGGTTTTCTATAAATTCTGTAT